GAAGTCATTGGATTAGCCTAAGACTATATCACGATAGTGATAGTTTCATATTTCATATTCACTACATAGTTTCATATTTATCAACATAGGAAAATACTGGCGTCATGAAAGCAAATCTCTAAAGTTTATGAGTCCTCACTAATCTGACACGGGTGAAAATTTGAAATGGAAGTGTTTGTAGAGAAAAGTAGTTGTGTTGCTAAAATTATACTTTAATTGGCAAATGTTAGTAAGATTAATATATATGTGTAGAATTATTTTTTCCTTTGTATATGTATATATACATACATATAAAATACCTTAGGAAAAAAATAATTCTACACATATATTATATTATATATATACATATACACATGTATTATATTTTATTATATATATATATATATTTTTTTTTTCCCCTCTGTGCTCTGTTTGCCCTGCTAAGGACATGCTTGGTTAATCCTTCCTTGGAGAGATTCCGGGAAGAAGGCATCTGTGGACACTCCACTCACAAAATGCAAACCCTCGTCATGGATTTGAATTAAGGAAATGTTACCTGAGGGAAGAAATGGGATGGGAGCCTGGCTCGAGCCATGCATGTTGATCATTTTTATTTAAAGGCTGTTATAAAAGACTATGAAAAGATTGTTATATAAAACTTGTATAGTAAGGAAAGGAGAGATAGGAAATGTCAGTGTGTGTGAAGAACATGGAAGGGCCACCGCATTCCATGTGTCTGGTGATTGTTGTGCAGAGTGTAGATTTTAACGAATCTTCATTGATAAGTAAGTGAAAGCACAAATTTTGCTGGCCTCTCAAATTAGGAAAACATATATTCTTCTGTTGATCAAAATAGCGTGTGTTATATTTAGATGGTGCTTCTGGGAGCATAAATTCATGTGCCTTTTCTGAAAAAACATCTGGCCAGTCTTTCTTCACGACTCTTAGCCACACACGCCTATTATCCACCAATGTCTTTTACTAATAATCTATTTTAGAGGACAGACACCGAACAAAAGATTTATATACTGAGATATTTAAATCCTCATTTTCAATAGAATAAACTGAAAAATTGTAATTTGTTCACCAATCGGTACGTGGTGGAGCTAGTATGCAGACATGGAGATGCTGGCCTCTCCTTGGAAATACCACGGGAAAATGCCCCATGTTGAATGAACCCAGCTGAGTACAACTGTTACGGTGGGCAATTCTTCACAGTTGCATCCTTTTGAAATACAAGACTGAACAGGTGATTTCTGTACTTAAAAATTTTCTGCAAGCAAAACTGTAAGTCCATGCCATAGATAAGGCCCTGCAGGCACCAGCTCCCTGCTGCCTGTGACCATGACTCTTGCCTTCTCCCTTCCTCACGCCACCTTAGCCACACAGGCTCCTTTGCTATGTCTGGAATAGTCTGGGCTCAGTGGTGGTCTTACTCTAGTAGTGGCCTCCTCTGCCTGGTCATCTGCACATCTCAGGTCTATTTCAAGTACCTCCTTTTTAGTAAGGCATCGCCCGACCACCCTATATAGAATTGCCACCCAGACTTCCCTAGCTCTGGCTTCCCAGTCTCTCCTACCTTGGTTGATTTTTCTCAGTATCAGTACGATGTCTTAACATTGTGTACAATGTAGCTATTTCCTATGTTTATTATTTATTATGTATCTCCCTTCCCTGACTGGCCTCTCCTCATGCCTACAGGTTGTAAACGTCATGAAGGTCATTATCATTGTTGGTTTCTGATGATGTATTTCTAGTCCAAGAATAATGCCTGGCATATAATAAGGATTTCAGTTCAACTAACTTGAACTTAGTTTTTTTTTTTTGAATGCCAAAGTCCTGGGACCAGGCTATATTTAAATTCATTTAGATGTCATGGTCATAGAAGAAAATAATCAGAAAGAATGTTACAGGTCACAGTAGAAACTAATATTTTTTAATAGAATCAATGAGTTGGTTAAATATATACATGGTTTCATATGTACAGAAATGTATAACTGTTAATAGCAGTTATCTTTGGGTAATGGGGTTACTAGTGACATCTTCCTTTTTATTAAAACTGTCATATTTTTCATATATTTAGCATATATTATTTTGTGACCAAGAAAAGGCCTTTATTATAAAATGAGTGATATGAAGATCTTTGGAATTCTAATCCTTATGAGAAAACTAGGAAATGCAAACGTCTATTTTACTTACGGTCTGGAAGAAATTCCTCAATTATTAAATATGTTTTCCTTGTAAATCAAATGAAATTTGGAATCTTAACATAGAGGTTACTGCTTTAGTGATGAGGTCTCATGGGTCCCACCAAAGATAACAGATAGTCCAGCTGCCACAGTAAAGGGGACTGATGTGATTGGTCAAAGGGCAAAACCAGCAGAGCAGCAAACACTGCTTTAAACCAAAGGACCTGGTTTAAACTTCCCCTGGAAATAGAGTTAATGCTGCCTGAGAAGAGTGTGTCATCAAAGGATAATTGTCTCCGAGTCTATAGCTTGCCTCCTTCATATCTCTGGGGGATGAAGCTGTTAAATTATTTCATAATTGTCTATGCTGAAAGCTGGTGAAATGAAATTCACTTGGACAATTCTATGGAGCACTTCAGTGGCTCTGAATAATGAAACTTTACTCGATCAACAGCCAAAGCTCTTGGAGGCTGCTGCATGGAGTTTCTGGCATAGTTTAAAACAACAACAACAGCACACCATAAATATGGGTCCCCTTAAAAGGAGTATCTCCTGATATGTATAAGAACGGCCCATACCAATGGATTCATTTTTCTTTAATTACCTTAATGGACTCGAAACTGTTATCGAGTTCTTTACTGGGTATATGGGAGTACGTTATATTTAAATTCCCAAAGACTGTAGAGATTTTCAAGAAAAACTAAACATTCAGCATGTTGGAATATGATTTTTAAATATTCTTTTAGAAAGGCTTGGAAAGATAACCGTGCCCAGGTGGTTTCTGCTCTGAGACGTTTTTGCAAGCATACTAAGGTTTAATCTGTAGCTCTTGTAAGGTACCTGGAGTGTCTGTTACTACAGTTAAAGATAATTTCCCCATCGTTCAAGTAACTCAACTCCCTAGTTTTGAACACATACTCATTTTATAACTCTAAAAAGCACAGCTTGTTAAATGTCAAAAAGTTATAGATAAAAATAGAATAAACTCAAAATAGAGGTAGTTTTATATCCGAAACATTCAGCAACGAGCATATAAACAGAACAATCTGGCAGCTATATTGGCCTGTGTAGTATTAAAATAGTTTAAATTAGCTGCCAACTCTTGAAAACTGGAAGAATGTACCAATAAAAAAGGAGATTAAGTTTCTGTCTTTTCTAGAAAAATTGGTCAATCAGGTTACCCCAGGCAGGAACTGGTGAACTTGACATCCCTCTAAAGCATCCCTTGGGGGTCTATTGCTCTCATTTTTATGATATAGATCAGCCTGGAGAATATTTGTCTATGGGACCCCCAGATAAGGAACATCACAGACGTTTTTCTCTCACATTTACTTATCTCAGGTTTGTTTCGTTTTATTTAGCTTTTGTGTTTTGCAAAGTTATTTGTCTTTGTCTTTTGGAAGATTTTATTGGGAGAAGTTTCAGGTTCACAGCAAATTAAAGAGGAAGGCGCAGATTTCCCATCTCCCCCACCTGCCTCCTTCACCCACAGACTGCCCCCAATCAAACGGGTGCATTTATCAAATTACTGAGCAAGCTGTAGTCCCTCAAGGCCCATTGTTTACACCAGGATTTGTTCTTGATGTTCAATGTATGGGTTTGGAAAAATATAATGACCGACACCCACCATTACAGGATCAGAGTATTTTCACTGCATGTTCTGTCTCTCCAACCCTCCCTCACTCACCTTAGATTCTTAGAATTATATAACCAAACTGTACCATGAATTAGCTTTGCTTTTATTTATATTTTTATATTTTCATTACATTTTGAAATAGAGCACTTTGAAACAAAATTTTATCAGGGTTTAAGGAGGTGAAGAGGGTTTTGTTTTCTACTACCACACAGAAGACTTCACAATCTATCCAGCAAGCTGACAAAAACCTGGATTGTTTTGTTCCTCTTGGAAGGTGTCTGTCAAAATCTCAGTTTAGTAACTATATGCAGTATCTCTACCTGTCCCTGTTAATGTGTATCCTTTTAAGGCACATTTGTACCTATCCTGAAGGAGGAGAGGTTTTAAAATTTATCTGGGGTTGAATTTTAACCTTTATTATTTAGTTCTTGATGCAAAAGAATATCTGATTCACTAGTAAACTCTAGAAAATACTCAGTGCAATGCCTGCCAGTTAGATAGAGCTCAATAAATGTGGTGGGGTCAATAGTGGCACCACAGGAAAAATCTTGTGAGTTCCCTTTAAGTCAGTCAGGGACTAACAAAGATGGTCTTCAAAGTCTCAGTCCTGCCCGTGTCTGGCACGTGTCTGTTGTAAAGATAAGGTTGACATAACAAAAAAAGTGAGCAATGTTATGGAGATTCTCTCTGGGGATTCTTAGTCCAAATTTTCCAAAGGTCTTAGAACCAGTGGGGTTGATTGCAGGGGTCCTCAAACTTTTTAAACAGGGGGCCAGTTGACTGTCTCTCAGACTGTTGGGGGGCCGGACTGCAGGCCCCCGGACGAGTTGGCTGCTAAACAGGACAGGCAGCGGTGGCAAAAATACTCGGCGGGCTGGATACTAGTGCAGGCCCCATGTGGCCCTTGGGCCATAGTTTGAGGACGCCTGCCTTAGAGTCATTTGTTCTAGAAGAGGGTAGCAGGACCTTGAAAGAACAAGGCACAGAAGGGCTAAAATTTGATAGTAAAGGAGAAGTAAGGCTTGCAGCACAATTTTCTGTCTGATAAAAGTATCCTCAACCAGAAAGCCTGCAGTATCTGGGTCAAAACCTGAAAGTTGAGATCCCAGGGAACTCATGGGATCCTGGATCGTAACAGGAGTCCCTCACCAAGACGTGGCTTTAAAATCCCCTGGATCCCACACCCCACAACCAACCTGGATTCCTGGGAGTGTCTCCTGGCAGGCAAGGCAGCAGAGAGGCAGGTGGGAGAGTTTGGTTCAACCACCCACATGGCTGATGGAGAGGACCACACCCACAAGAAAGGGGTCACAAACACCAGCAGATGTGGAGAAGAAGCAAGAGAGAAGGGTGGGGGGAGAAAAGAAATAGAAGTTTTAGTATTATTTAAGAGGAAAGACAGATTCACAGCAGGGTGTCTTTAAAAAGAACAAAGTAGCTAGATGGTGAGGTTGTCACGATTTTTAAAAAACTTGGGGGAAAGGGTTTAAAGTTTGCAACATAGTATGTCTTTGAGCAGCCTCTGTCATGGGTACTAGGCTGGATTTGCGTCTGGAATTGAGCTTCACCATCTTGGATGCATCAGAAGGTAATTTACATCTTGTAGATGAAACTTTCAGGGCCTTTTGATCTGTTTTCTGCATTCCTATAGGTGAGAAACACTTTGTGCCTCTAATGCTTACTATTTTAATACAGAGACAGCAGTCAGCCAACAGGTGTTTAGGGATAATTATTCCGGCAGCTTTTCATTCCTTGTAGTTAAAGTTTCTGTACGGTGCTTACCTGTAAGGCACGCTCTGGTCCCTTTTATCAATGCAAATAAATAGTGTATCACTTCAAACTGCAAAAGCTAAAAAGCCACAATAACTATGAAAAAGGAACCCAATAATATCAATGTACATAGGAGCAATCAGTGATCACAAAGCCATCAGTGAAACTCTCTCTGCATCTTGTTGCCTGGTGGTTAGCTGCTGGTAAGTCATTAGAATTTGATAAAGTGTTACTGTGTGAATAAAGAAACCAGAGAAGAACTAAAGAAGTGAAATATAATACCAGAGATAACAAGGCAGGAAAAATCTGGTGTAGGGGCAGAGGGAGAATAAGCAACCATCTGTGGGCACTTAAGATGATCCCCAGCGTAAATCCCTCACTAAGGTTTACAGTGCTCTCCAGGAAAGTCTCTCACGTTTTCTTTAGGTTTGCTCTTAGAAAATCCATATTTATTGGCAGCATTGTAAATAGATTCCTTTTTAAAATTTCCCTTTTTGTTTGTGACTCATGGAGAAATGTGGTTTATGTCAGCGTTCTGATTTATATTCAGCAAACGTGCTAAATTCATTTATTTAGTCTAATCATAGAGTGTTTATCTGCAGATTATCTCAGATTTTCCATGATTACAATCAAGTAAATCTCAAAGGCTGAGAATTTTTGTTTTTTCTTTCCCAAATGTTTCATTTTTGGTTTCCCATTATCATTTTACTACATTGTCTGGGATCTTCAGGGAGTGGTAAGTAGAGTCGTGTAAGAACCCTTAAAGTCACACCACCATGCACTATACTGGATATGGGGTTTTTGGTAGGTATTATTTATTAAGTTAAGGGATTTCTTGCCTATTTTTATCTTCCTAGTGCCTTTCTCTGTTCAGTGTGACAAGTTTTTGCATTTTATCAAATGTCTGTCTGCCTTTATTGAAATAACCATATGGTTTTTCTCCTTTGGATTTTCAATTTGATTGATTATGATACTTGATTTTCGAATGTGAAAGCAGTCTAGAATCCCTTTTTTACATGTGGTGGGACCCAGCACACTAATATTTTGGTTGGTGGTTTCTCCCTCTAAGATCATGACTCAGATTTGCTGTATTTCCTTCCTTCCCCTGTCACATTGGTGTCAAAATTATGCCAAATTATGCAAAATTATGCTCTTTTTCTGTTTTCTAGGAGAGTTTGTGAGCTAATGGGGTTGTCTCGTTATCAATAGTGTCTGGCAGAACTTTCCACCAAAGCCATCTTGGAGTGATATTTTTCTTTTGGAATGTTTTGATCACAGAATCAAATCTTTAATATTTATGGACTATTCGGGGTTTTGGTTTCTTCTTTAGTTACTTTTGTAAGTTGTATTTTTACTTAACATTGCCCCTTGTATCTGAATCTTACTTTTACGTATCAGCGTAACATTTGTATATTATAATTTTGTTTGTAGTAACAGTAGTGATGTTCACTGTTTTCATTCCTACCGTTGTTTTTTGGGGGCTTCTACCCCCATCTCCTTTTAAAATTGAGTGAACCATGGATTAGTCAACTTGATTTGCCTTTACAAAGAATCAATTTTGATTTGTTTATCCTTTATAGCCCATATTTATTTATTTATTTATTTATTTTTTACTGTATTACTCTTGGGTTTATTATCATTTCCTTTCCTTATGTTCTTTGGGGTTATTTATACGAGTCTTTCTAAAAGCTCAGGGCAGATTTGCTCACTACATTTATCGTCATCTTTGGCCTATCTCTTTAATGTATGGCTGCAAAGGTTATACACTTTTTCTCTTCAAATAGCCTTACCTGCATTCTGCAAGTTTAGAGATGTAGCATGTTTATTGCCCTTCAAGTTCAAGTTATTTTCTACTTTTAATTACAGCTTTATAGATCCATGTGCAGTTTTGGCTGGGTATGGTGGCTCATGCCTATAATCCTAGCACTCTGGGAGGTCCAGGCAGGAGGATCCCTTGAGCTCAGGAGTTCAAAACCAGCCTGAACAAGAGCAAGACCCTGTTTTTACTAAAAATTAGCATGGCAGGCACCTGTAGTCCCAGCTTCTTGAGAAGCAGAGGCAGGAGGATCTCTTCAACCCAAGAGTTTGAGGTTGCTATGAGCTAGGCTGATGCCATGGCACTCTTGCCTGGGCAACAGAGTGAGACTCTGCCTCAAAAAAAAAAAAAAAATTAAACAATTAGGAAAAAAAAGAAAATTAATTCTTACTTCTATTTATATAGAAATTTTTAATTGATCTTTTCATTATCGATTTCTAGTTGAATTGCATTTTGCTCAGATCGCATCTTCTGCATGATGTTATCAATGGTATTTATTGAGAACTGCCTTACAATCCAGTGTGTATGGCCATGCTCCATAAATGCTATGTGAATTCTGCAGGTTTGGGTTATGGTGTTCTACATATTGGTGTCCTATACATTACATCAGTGTTCTGTACGTTAAGTCAGTTGTGATACAAAGATCTTCTAAGTCCATGTTGAGTCTTTGCACAAGTTCTTCTTTTAGTTATGTTTGTTTTTGCTGTTTTAATTTTGAGGCTGTTTTGTTAGGTGAACATGAATTTAAAATGACCTTCCTTCCTGATAATTCAGCCTTTTATCCTGTCATACTTCTGCCAATGTCCCTCTGTTTTACAGTCCTTTGTCCCACAGTAGTGCAGCTGAGTCAGTTTTCTTTGGATAGCCATTGCATGGTACCTCTTTTTCCATCTTCTCTTACTATTTCATGTTTTACATATCTTACTTTGAGTTTCAAACATTATCCTTAAAAATATAATATGCATATTTATCTTCATACATCCCCAAATTAATATTTATATCCTCCTGTTCAATAAGGGATCTTAGAACACTTTAGCCTCTCTCAACCCACATCATTGCCTTATGTTTTGGTTATTTTAGACCCCACAGAGTAAAACTAATATTGTTTTTATACAGTCAGCATTTGCTTAAGTTTGCTAAATATTTGAAACCTTCTTTACTCTTTATTTATTCTCGGATTCCAGACCTCATCTCTGGGACCGCCTTTGTTTTGTTCTGCTCGAAGTAAAATAATTTTTCTTTCCTTTTTTTTTAGTGAAGAGTAACATTCTTGGTTTTTAATCTATATGAAGATATCTTTCTTTTTTTCCAGGTACTTGCTGGAGTACAGAGATGTAAACAGACACTTATTTTCCTCCGGCACACTGACGCTATCACTGCATTCTCTTTGGAATCCCATTGTTTTTGTGAAATCGGCTATCAGTCTGTGTTTTGAAAGTAATGCATCTTTTTTTCCTCTGGCTTATTTTTAAGATTGCCTATTTATCTTTGGTGGTTTGATGATATCGAGCCAGTCATTCCTTATTATCTTACCATCTTTTCAATTCTTTTAGTATATTTAAAAACATTTTATAATAGTTTTAATCATTTTCAGCAAAAAGATTGACCAAGAACTTCATTGTGTTACAAAAATTCATGGGTCTTTAAAATTTATCTAGCGCTTATTGGGATGGTCCACAGAGAGGACCATAGCAACTAGTGGGCTTTAATGTTAAGAAAAATGTGGGTAGGAAAGGGAAGATGTAATAATCAGAGTAGAGAAGAACGAACTAGGAAGAACTGGCTGATTGTCAGAAAAAAATTATACAAAGAATTAGAAGTTGGTAGAGATGGGTGGGGACAGAATGATTAAGCTCGGTATTAAAAAACAACTTAAAAATGATCAAGTTTTAGAATGAGATGCAAAAAATGAATCAGTCACGTATTTCTCTTTCCTTCTATATATTCACTCAACTTAAATAAAAAAGATTAATTAATTGATAAGAGACAAGTCCTCAATTAAGTGCTAAGATATGATGCTTAAGGACACTGAGCTCACACAGGAGAAATACACCTGCGTTTCTCAGTTCATGAGAAAAAGTGCAGCACCAAGTCAGCGTTTCAAACATCGTCAACTTGTAAAGAGTATTAGGAAGATTTTGTAGCAATCCTCTAAGAAAAAATAGATAAAAATAATAAAATTTCAATTTGGGCAGCACTTCAAAAGTTGGAGGAATCAGTACTCACTGACTACACTTTATCTTTGCACAATTTTGTAAATAAATTGTGTAACTGTTGTAAGTCACTTACCCGGGTATTCACAAGGATTATTATAATATTTAACCCACCCAAGAAAACCATTTCAAAGAAGTGATATAGGAACAGACCTCCTTTTTATGTAAGTTATATTTCTAATTACAGGTGCGTTTTTTTGACACCAGTAAGCATCACAATGTGTCCAAGTACATTTTTTGCATACAACTAAATCTCAGTTATTGCGGCTTCACTGACATAGTTTTCTTAGTTCTCTTATTACCCTTCCCAATTCATTTTCTTTCAGAAGATGAACTCCAGGTGCAGACATGGGACCAGTACCTCTGTGCGAATGAGTGTTCCTTTCATTCCTTTACTGGTAGCCATTTGTGAAACACACACAAAAAAACCATACAGTAATAATCCTTTACTTTGTAAGGGAGGTTCATGAGAAT